GGAGGAGGCGCAAGAGCACAGACACCTGAAGAAGCTGTGCCGGCTTCCTGGCCTTGGACTGGCATCAGGGACTGGGGGACACAAGGCGACACCTGGAACAGCAGTGGACGAGAGGCCGCGGGAGGTGACTGGGCAGCCGCTGTCCCTCCCGGTGTGGAGTTGGCTTTTTCCTGCCAGACTCACCTGCCCTCCTGCCCCTTTCCCGTGCAGCCAGCAGGTGCCTCAGGCCTGGGGCGGCTCGGCCCGGGGCCCTGCTTTGGGCCAGCCCTGTCGGGCTGCGCTCTGCCCGCGAGGGATGGGGACGTGGGTGCTCCGCTGCAAGCGACCGACCTCCCTTCCCCTCCTCTCCGCTGGCGGCACACTCACGGCATGGAAGTCCCCACTGGAGGCCTCGCCCACTAGGGTATGCTTCTCCTGACGCACAGGCGCGCTGGGGGGTCCTGGGGTGCTCCTTCCCCTGCCCTGTCACATTCTGATCGCTTCAGACAGACTTAAATTGTTTGGTTTTCATTTCTTGGTGTTTTCTAACTCCAGTAACAAGTGCCCGAGAAGTCCCACTAGGCCATCACGCTGCGTTCTCGAAACTGAGTAGAATGCAATAAAATTCCAATTTTTCTGCCAATAGAAATGAAACCGCTGAGTCGTGTCACAGGACACCAGCAATCTGGACAGCGCACGGCCAGAAATGAAGCCCCAAGCCACCTGCCATTGTGCAGTCTCACCAGAGCCAGGTCTGGGGGGTCGGTCCTCGGGGAGCTCGTGTGTTCATTCCCGAGCCCTTCAGAAGCCACCCAGAGGGAACCTCAGTGGGGATACAGCCGGCGGAGAGAGCCAGGCTGTACCATTCCAGACACCTTCCGGAGACAGCCCTGCGGTTCTTTGCGGCAGGAGAAGAGCTGCAGCTCTGGAGAGGTGGAGCAGCTGCCGGAGGGCGCCCTGGCTGGGAGCTGGGGCTGGAACTCTGGCTGCAACAATGTATCTGAAAACTGGGTACAACATTGCCATGTGTTTCCGAGACTTGTATTCCTCCTGCCCTCCTTGGGTGTCCTCAGGCCCCAAGAGGAATTCTGGCAACAGTGGACAGCAGGGAAGTGTGGGTCCCTGTGTCCCGGGTAACGAGAGCTGAGAGCAAAACGCACATTGTATTCTTAAGGCAGACGTTTTTATTGTATTTTCTTTCTCTCTTTTAAAGACTTATCATATTTGTCTATGCATGCAAGAACTGGGGTGCAGGCCAGAAGTACCGGCGGTGAGAAGACTCCCCAGAGACAGAGTGGGGGGCAGAACAGGCAGGCATACTAAAATCCACTGCTGAGGGGAGCAGTGGAGACAGGAGAGGTCTGCTGCTCCCTGTGGTCACTCCCTGGCCGGGGATCAAGCTGGTGCTTGCAGTGGCTGGGACAGCTTGACAGCGCTGAGACTTAATCCCTGCACCTCCAGGGAGGGCCTCCCCCACACGGGGAGAGCCCCCCTCACACATATGCAGATTTGTGCTTGTTAGTTGTACCCAGATTTGGGGCCAGAAAGCCCGGAGGCACCAGCTACCCTAACTCCTGCGGCACCCACCAGCACCGACAGCCGCTAGCACTGGCGTGGAGCAACGCTGGCGTGGCCATCAGCGTTGTGTGCTTTGGCTTTTGTGAAATACTGAAAGCTCTAGTGGCCAAGTGCCGTGCACGCCCGGAGCTGGGGGGGTCCCCGCTTTCGGCAGAGTGCTCTGCCTTTGGGAGGACGAGGGGTGGCAACAGCGCCTGAGGGGGGTCTGAGCCTCTAAATCATGCACTCAGTTAGCAACGATATCACCCCAATAAAAAGCTGAACAAAGCATCCAGAAGCTCTGTAACAGGGAGGCCGCCCATTTCAAAGCGCCCCTGCCCAATTGTTTTGTGTTTCTCTTCAGGTTCGCAGGAGGGATGTCCTTCAGGAGAAAGCCTCTCCCTTCCTTTCCCGTCCCCCCATCTCCCTCTCCTGCCAGCTTCCTTGGCTGCCTGGACTCACCGTCTACTAGTCTACCACGTTTTGGGATTCCGAGGCACTGGGAGAAGGCTCAGCCACCTCTTCCTTAAACAGACACAAGCCCGCCTCCTCTTCGCACTCCCGCCAGCTGACCCCCGGCCCACTCCTATACCCGAGAGGGGGCAGGAAGGTCAGGTGAGAAGGCCAACGGGGAAAGTGCATTCCTGGGCCAGGAAGAGTGACCCAGCGGCAGGTGTGAGTGTTAATAATTCGCAAACTGAAGCCCTGACTAACATTCTGTCTCCCTAGAGTAAGTTGGTTCTTGGATCCGGAGGCTTTATTCAATTTAGAATTATTCTTGCTAGAAATGGCTTTTACTAAAAACTGGAAAATGTAGAGGTGGCTCATTCCAAACGAGCTGTTTGCATGCAAGACACTAAAAACAGAACTTCCTATGTCCACAGAGACAGTTACCTCAAGGCTGAAGCCTGTTTGTACAGCATGCCCCAACCCCTGAAAAGTCAGAACAGGGGGCCTTTAACTCTGGGGGAGGTGTGACTGTCAGGGGGAATCAGCCATCACTCAGCAGGACCCGACAGTCTGAGTCATGTGAGTTTTACCAACTAGCATGAGGTCATTTTAAACTGGTCAGAGGGTGGCTGGAGAAGGTGTCGCTCTCTAGACAGCCCTGGACAGTCAGTGGGACCGTTAACGAGCCCCAGGAACTGGAGGGTGCTGGGAATTGCGTCATGAAGCCCCACACCGGACTGCCTGCCCCCAGACTGGCCGGGAGGCAGCTTCTCTGGTGGTGCAGAGGCCTTCTGGTTCGGCTGCGGAGCTGTTCTTTTGCGCTCCCTGAAAAGTGGTTTCTGGGTTACCCAGAGTTTGTTCGGGGTCACTGAGCATGTTCACTATTGGTCTGCAAAAATGTGGGTAATGCCCCTCAAGCTCCCTTCGGCGGCAGAGGCCGGCCGACCGGCAGCGACGCGCCTATATAGAGGCCGCAGCTGATTCCACGGCTGGTTCCAGAAACCTGTCTTGCTTTCGGGCCATCGCACCCGAGAAGCATGCGAATTGTTGTCACTCAAAGGCACCATAAAAGAAGTATCAAGGGCTGGATGGGGGTACTCAGGACTGACTTTTTTTTGTTAATCTCGTTGTGGACTCAGAATTTCTCTTTAGAAAGATGATTCTGACCGTTGTTGCAGGGCAGGAAGCAGGGCACCCCAGAACCCCCAAACCTGCCTGTTCTACATAGGTTCAGCCATCCGCAGAATCAAGAAGAAACATGCTCTTAGTGCGGAAGAACTGTAATGGGAAGACTGAATACAATGAGCGAGCCGCTGAGAAAAGACAAAGGACAGTTCTCAACTCCGCCCCTCGAGTTGCCCATCCTCCCGTGGGTAAATGTCCAGCAGACAGGGTGGGCCCAGGCGAGGCCCGAGCGCCCGCCAGCCTAGGCACATTCCAGGGGGGCCATGGGAATGGGTCAGAAACAGCCAGACCAGTCTGGGGGGAAGGCGCAAGGTGGTTGCCTCTGTCACCTCCCCCGGGTCTCTCCCCGACACCTGTCACGCTTAGACAGGACCCCGAAGCCAGCACAGCTTCTCCACACTTCTCTCTGCTCCCTGCGCCCGCTTGCCCCCTCTTCCTTCCTTCCAGTCCCTCTCCAGCTTCTCCTCCTCCCTGCTCAGCTCCCGGTGGGGGGAACCTGGAACTTCCCCTTTTCTGGGGCCACCGGTCAAGGAGAGGCAAAGCCAGCAATTCCCGTGGAATGCAGCCAGAGCAGATGGAAACAGGTGGAGTGGCGCGTGGGGAGTTGGTTCTAGAAAGTATTAAGAGCTTCAGGACAAGCCGAGAGGGGTCACCCCGAATGCTGGGCCCAGGTCCTGCTCACCAGAGTCTGGTCCAGGTCACTAGCTTAGTGTCGGGTTACAGCGTGACGATCACATGTGTGTATATGTTGTGAGATAGTCCCACAATACGCCTGGTCAATAACACCCTCTCAAATAGTTATTTTTTTTCTTGTGATAAGAATTGTTTTCCTCACTGCCACC